CAACCGCTTGCCAACCGCTTGCCAACCGCTTGCCAACCGCTTGCCAAGCGACAACTGGGATTTGCGAGTGTGCCAAAGGCCTGTGTCACTAGTTTTTGTCTGCCTCCGTAAGCTAAGTGGGCCACCAACCTCACACGGCACTCCAAAGAGTGCTCTCTATTCAGTCTTGAAAAAGAGACTGCTAACAAGACGCCAAGCGTTTCCAAATTTCTCGTTTTTGGAAACGCTTGATCTACTTCACATGAAGCTCTTGTGACACTCGTTGATCTGGATTTCTCACATCAAGGCACGGCGCCAAAATCTGCTTCGGCGGCGCTCTTCGTGCCACGCGATAGGCTTCGGCCCGAACAGCACGGTCCTTCGGACAGGCCGCCCCCGGCTGGGAGGAAAAGGATTCACACTCACTGTTCCTTGGTCAAAAACCCTGTTGTGATTAAAAAATGAAGTAATGAGCTGTGCAAAAGGGCGTTTGGGCGTTAAGAGGTCTTAAGAATACTTTGGTCTCTTGAACTTCCTTGTCCAAGAGCCGCAGCCCCACAGAACGAAGAAGCCGTGGACGCACAACGAGTCGAGGGTTCACAAGCGTCAAGGCTCTGAGGGCAGCCAGGCGAGTGGGTGGCTCCTGAGACGAATTCGAAAACAGGCCAATAATCTCTTTTATCCGCCGACCCCCTAGCTGACGCCTATGCTGGAATATAGGGGTCGGTGGCACCACGGCGTTAGCCCTTTCTATCCGATGCCGTTCCAGTACCCCTATCAAACTATAGCTTGCGCTCCATGCCACCGATCTCTTTTCTAGCATCACCAGGGCTCATGTGGCGTCGTCAAAAAAACGTCAAAAACAGATGAAAAATTGCCACTGTAATGTTTATAGTTTACAGCTTCAAAACCTCTAGAAAATAAAGCATTGAAAATGGAGACAAAGTTTGAGGACAAATTTTGGTCGAGCATCATTAGCATCAGCAGAGTCTCAGCAGGAAAAATGCAAATACTTTGCGCAAAACACTGTAAATTACAGTGTTGTTGCAAAATGCATGTAGTTTATGAACAATGCTTTTCATACTCTGGTGATGCCGATGGTGCTCGACGCAAATGCTACCTCAAAACTTCCTCTCTCCTTTGCATAGTTTCTTCTCCAGAGATCAAGTTTTTACAGTAACGATTTTCGCGCCCGCACCCGTGCCCGCGCGTGCGCCTGTACGGATACGCGCAGTCCCCCCAAAGGCGTCGCCGGTTGGCGAAGCCTGTCAGTTTGCTATGTATGCTGCATGCTTAATTATCTTAATTAGGGTGGAGGCGTATGGCTATAGTAGGCTTCCTCTCTTTTATGTGCTTGTGTGCTTTCTCTCTTTGGACCTTTGGTTCCGCTCTTTAGACCTTGAGACCTTTGATGAAAAGTGTTCTTCCTTTATATTGCCTAGCCTAAATATCTGATCCCGTGGGAACGTGTAGCAATCAGTTGACTGAGAACAAACACTTTTGTGAAACCGGAAGGTCGGAAGGTTTCTCCTTGTGGGACATGAATTTTGGAAGCCTGTTCGCGAGGCATCTGGCAAACCACTTGCTTGGAAGATTGGCCCTCAGCAACTGCAAGCAATGAAACACCGCCTCGCGTCGCGTCGGCGTGCCCAAGCAGGATAGGACGATGTGGACTGCTTCCAGACTTGTAGTCACTTGCATCAAGGCCAAACAGGCAGTATTTCGGACATCTGGGTTGTCAAGATGATGGAGAATGCTGCTAATGGCCGTCCAATTACCGCGAGCAATTTGACGGAGTGCTCGTATCCCTGCACTTCGGATTGAAGAGGACTTGTGTTTCAAACATTCCACAGCCAACTGGATCGCAGCAGCATTTCCTTCTTCGCCTTTGCCACCGTCATTGCCAGCAATGCAAGACAAGGTCTTGATGGCCTCCTCTCGCACCTTCATATCATCATCGTGCAAGCGATGTGCCGTAGCCTTGATCACCTGAACAGCCCTGCAGTCGCTGAAGTCCTCCCTTAAAGCCCTTAAAGCCAAAAGTCGAACTTCCACGCTCCGATCCTCTAGGCCTTGCTTCGAGTAGACTGGCCCTGCTCCGATCAAGGCTGCCAGCACCGAGGGCCCCGATGGGGAGATGAGACGTAAGGCATGCACTGCAGCCAGGCGGAGCTCCACCTTGTGGTGAGGTGCCATGAACGGCAGGACCTCATTTTGTGCAGAAAAGACCCTTAAAAAAAGAAGAGACCAAAATCAAAACAGGTTTGGAGCTGGTTCAAGGAGCATTTGGATGTGCAAAGACTCTGAAACCAATTGGAGGTGGGGATCCTTCAAGAACTCTCTGGAGGCTTTGCCCTGGCCTGAGAAAAAGTCTCTCCATCGGCAGTGGAGGCAATCGAGCGAAGAAGCTCCAGTTGCCTCAAATGAACAAGTTGTCCTTGTTCCTAGTAGCGATGTCAGGAGCCCCTAGTAGCGTCCTTGCTTCTAGTAGCGATGCCCCATGGGCCTTGAAACCGAATGTCCGTGCGTCTGCCACAACGCAAAACGGATGTGTCCCCTGCCATCATACTTTTTGGGTGGCGGGACTTTGCACATGATTCAGTTTCTGATGGCCCTGCAAAGGAAGAGCCTTGCCAAAAGAACCAACAAGAAATCTTGGTATTGGTCTTTTCCTGTCTTTGAGAGATGCAAAGGTAGCCATTTGTTAGTAGCAAGAACGGGCTCCTGGCATCCCTATGAACGGAGCGTTCGAACGTTACTCGGGGCTCCTGGCCTTACTAGTCACAAGAAGCACGCTAACGCACGCTATCTATACAAGGACGCTCACTGCGTTCTTCGAAGTGACACGTCTTCAGCCTCCTCGAGTTGCAAACGTTTCGGCAGCCATCGGGTCACCGGATGGCCGCGTGGGGCCGAACACATGGCCCGCGCCACCGCAGCACGAACAGTCGAGGAGCTGTGCGAGCGGTGCCTGAAGATGACATGACAAACCGTTTCAAACCCCGAAATAGAAAGAAAAACAAGAACTCTTTAATGTTATTTTCTTTTCTTGATGTCTTGTCCTTTGCCTTTTTTGAGGCAACCAAAAAAATCAAAAACAAAGTGTTCGTTGTAATTCAGACTCGAAAAGTTCCAAGGGAAAGCTGCACAGGTGATAGGCACAAACCTCCTTCCGCCCACGCCTGGCGATGACTTCCAGTGCTTCCAGGCCCCCGGACGCGGCAGCCGTCACCACTGCTTGCAAGGCCAGGGGTGGCAGCCGCAAACGCATTTGGAGCACCCGAAGCAAATTTGGCAAAGAGATCTGCGCCTTCCAAGAACCGATGCAGTAAAACGCCTTCACAGTGAAGAAGTTTGCACGGTTTTTCTTCAAAACAAACCTCTGCATTCCTACAGGCATCAATTCTTGGCTTTGTTGTACATCGCACACACCATCGGAGGCAATGAATCGATTAAGCTCAAGCTTCTTGCATTGTGGATTCCAGGCCCGGTGAAAATCGCCACGCCTGCTCTTGCACGCCATTCGCCTGAGTGCGTCCAAGAAGCAGAGTGGAGGCCATCGCTAGTAAGTTGGAGGCCATTGCTCTCTCGCTAGTCCATTCTTGTTATTATGAGCATTGGGCAAGCACTTTTCCCATGTCCTCTGGCACCAGTGGTAGTAAGGAGTAGTATAGGTGTTGCAGTAGTCAAGTACTTCACCAAAGGCATGGTAGCCCAAGGTATGAGGCCTATGATGGTCCTTTTTCTCTAAGTCCAGTATAGTCCAGTCTCTTGTTCACGTTGCTGGGATTTCTACGACCTCCTACACCAAAAGAACATACCTAAGAACATGCTCTCCCGGGCTCTCCCCTCTGATACTAGCGATGGCCTCCAACCTAAGAGCGATGGCCTCTAACCTACTAGAGATAGCCTCCAGCCTAAGAGCGATGGCCTCCAACCTAAGAGCGATGGCCTCCAACCTAA